TATACTCTAAAAATAGAAGCTTTTAGACTACTAGTTAGTAAAGTTTCTTCTCTAGATTAGTAATAAGAGCTTTCTTTCTATTAGTAATAAGCTAATTAACCTTATAGATACTAAGGTACCTAATTATAGTATCTTTTTAACGCGCGTTAATTATAAAGGTAGCTACGCTAATTATATTAATATTAAGCCTAGCCTTTAAGCATATTTCTTGTAAAATAGGTAGCTTTTTTAGCGTATAGAGCAACCTAGCAGGCGAGTTAAGATTCTTAAGCTACCTATCTATCTTACGTAGGTTTTCTTAAAGCTTCTAGCGTTATAATTCTCTCTTCTTTTATTATATTACTCTTAGCTTTTCTACTACTAATATTAAGGCGTTGCGGTAATTAGTATTAGCTTAGTAAGCTGCTTAGGCTTTAGCGTTAGATTAAGAGAATTATGTAGAGACGAACGCGTTACGTTTATAATTAATTAATTAATTAGTGTCTAGCTATATTAGTGCGCGTTACTTATAGTTAACCTAAACGTTAACTTCTTTAAGTAACTTATAACTAATTATTATATTATAGTAGCTAGTATTATAATATATAAAGTAAGTATAAATTTAGTAGCTTTCTAGTACTAGATTAGCTTTAAAATACTTATCTACTTAGCTATTAGGTTACCTATTATACCTAGTAAGAGAGATTAGTTCTATACATAATAGCTTAACGTAGAGGTTTTTTCTAAGAGTTTAAAGGTGCTTTAGGTGTACTAAGACGTAGCTGTCTACTCTTATATTAATTAAGCCTCTAAGCTTAATTATAAGACTATTTATAGAGATTTAGTAGAGTAGAGTAAACGTAGAACTACTAAATAGCTTTTCGCGTAGGTTAATTACTCTAGTAGATAGCTCTAGAGAGAAGACTTCTTCTAGAGCTAGGCTTTTTCTAAATTATTAGATTCGTAACCTAACGCGTTATACTTAGGTAGCTACAGCTCTAAGAGCTCTAAGAGCTTCTCTAGAGTAGCGTTCTTAATAGCTTTCTACGCGGTAGAGACTCTAGAGTAATTACAGCTTAGGTAGCTAGATTAGTAGTATTAAAAATAGATAACTAGCTTCTAGATTACTAGAGCTTTATTAGATACTAGAAAACCTAGAAGAGCTAGAGGCGTACGTTATAGTATTAACATAATTATATTATACTTTTTAGCCTTTCTAGTAGTAACGCGTGCTTCTCTAGAAGTAAGCTCTTAAGTAAGGTCTTAAGTAAGATCTATATAGTAATTATAGTTATTAACGTATTAATATTAGTATATCTCTAACTACGTATATATAGTCTCTAGTAGCTTCTTATAAAACTTCTCTATCTATTAATCTACTAGAAGCTAGCGCTTCTATACAAGGTAGAAGAAATTATTCTAGAAGTAGGTAAAGTTAGTAGCGCTTTAGTAATAAAGCTTTTAGAAATTATAGTAAGCGTTTAGCCTTTTATATAGATCTTTATAGCTTCTCTCTAGCTAATTAAAAATATAATTACGTAAAACTACTACGCTACTATTCTTAATAGTACGTAGTATTACTAATAGAGTCTAGTATACGTCTTCTTTAGTTTACGTATAAATATAGGTAATAATAGTTTTCTTAGTATTCTCTAGCGTATCTCTAGTATACTAATTTTAGTTTACTTAAAGTTTATTATATAAGCTATCTCTCTACTACTTAAAGGTAATACTCTTACTATCTAATAATAAGAGTAGATCTAGAAACTTAGTAAAGCGCGTTAGTTAGCTCTCTAGCGCTTATAACGCTAGAGGTGTAGCTAGCTAGTATATAAAAAGGTAAGAATCTAAGATTAAATTCTCTAGTAGTATTACGCTTAAATTACATATAATTAGTGTTGTAGAGAAATACGTTGCGCGTTAAACTAGCGTAGTAGGTAGTATCTAGTCTCTAGAGTAGAGTAATTACGCTTATAGTTACTAGATTTTAGCGTCTTTTTTAGCTAGAGTAGTAGCCTATATCTAATATCTTACGTATATATTATCTCTTTTAGCAAGAGCGTTAGTAGCAATCTAGTAATATATATAAATTTATTATTTATATACCTGTTAACGTACTTTACAAACGAACGCCCTATACAAACAAACGCCCTAAAAATACTAAGCCTAAGAATTAACGAGTCTTTCTTAAATAACTAAGCGAAACCTTAATATATTTCTATAAAAATTTAAATATATATTAATCTATACTATATACACCTACTATTAAATTTGTACTATATATTTTCTATTACGTAAGCTTAAAATAAGTCTTTTCTAAAAGTAGCTATTCTTAGAGTTTAAACCTTATAAGAACTAGTAAACTATTATAATAATCTATAAAACTTTAAATATATATTATATAGTATAGTGTAAAGCCTTTTATAAGATTTAGTAGCATCTAGCTTAGTAATATCTATCTATTTCTAGAAGAAACCTCTAAACTTCTTATTAGAGACTCTTTAAGTAAATATCTCTAGTACTACTAAGCTAAACGCTACTAAACTTTATAGAAAGCTTTATACTATAATATATAATATATATCTAAAGTTTTATAGATTATTATTAAGGTTTACTAGTACTATTAAGATTTAAACTTAAAGAATAGCTACTTTTAGAAAAAGGCTTACTTCTAGCTTACGTAATAGAAAATATATAGTGCAAATTTAATAGAAGGTGTATATAGTATAGTTCTATATATATTTAAAAGTTTATAGAAAAATATTAAGGTTTCGCTTAGTTATTTAAGAAAAACCTTTAAATTTTCCTAGCTTAGTATTTTTAGAGCGTTTGTTTGTGTAGAGCGTTCGTTTATAAAGTACGTTATATTCTTTATAGTAATATACTTAATATAATAGTTCGACTCGGCGCTATAGCTTAACTTAGCTTTACCTAAGTTATATAACTCTACCTAGCGTCTTAGTATAGGTACTCTATATATATAGAGAGCTCTTAGAGTATTTCTCTACTTCTTACCTTTAGATAGCTAAATTTAACCTAACCTACTCTACTAGCACTCTATTCTTATAGCTTGTAAAGATAGTACTACCTATAGCTAACTTACCTAGCTAGGTGTTCTAGAACGCTTATAGTAGTAGAAACTATAAAGCTAGCTCTTATATTATCTAAAGGTTAATACCTTTTTAGCTAGAGATAGTAGTATAATATCTAGCTAAACTAAGTAGCCTTATTAAGAAGCGTTTACTAATAGCTAATACTAAGAATTAAAGCTATAAGAGTCTAGTTACTTACCTAGAGAATTATAGCTATAAGAGCTCTAATTACTTATCTCTTTAGTACTATATAAGACTACTAGTAGATCTAGTTAGTAGTAGAAAGATACTAGTACTAAGCTAAAGAGAGCTATTAAGAGCTCTATATATAGAAGAAGTTCTATAGAACTTCTACGTACAAAAACCTCTCTCTCTCTTTATAAATTATAAAAAATTAATAATTCTCTACTTTGCTAGCAGAGCTAATAATCTCTCTACCTTGCTAGTAGAACTAATAACTCGCTGCTTTGCTAGTAGCTAAATACCTCCTCTCTTTGCTTCTTTCTTAATTAAAAAGCTAAACAAATTTAAACACTATAGAAGAACCCTTGCGAAGCTAATTTAGAGGTAGAACCTTAGCTCTATAATACCTCTTTACTCTAATAGTTCTTAAATCTAGAGTAGCGAACCTACTAGTAGAATATACTAATTAATATTTCTATTATAAAAATTCTATTTAGTAATATAACGCGATAACTAATAAGAATTAGAATAATAACTTTAACTAGAAGCTTGTAAGGCTCTACTAGAGCTTAGTAATACTAGAGCTATTATTAGCCTTAGGTTTATATATACTCTCTACCTTTACTAAAGAGCTTTAAGAGCTCTTTCTAGAAACGCTAGCTAAAATTATTAACAAATTAGTTAGCTAATTATATATATAACGTACTTTATAAATAAACGCTCTATACAAATAAACGCCCTAAAAATACTAAGCTAGAAAAATTAAAAGGTTTTTTCTTAAATAACTAAGCGAAACCTTAATATTTTTCTATAAACTTTTAAATATATATAGAACTATACTATATACACCTTCTATTAAATTTGCACTATATATTTTCTATTACGTAAGCTAGAAGTAAGCCTTTTTCTAAAAGTAGCTATTCTTTAAGTTTAAATCTTAATAGTACTAGTAAACCTTAATAATAATCTATAAAACTTTAAAGATATATTATATATTATAGTATAAAGCTCTCTATAAAGTTTAGTAGCGTTTAGCTTAGTAGTACTAGAGATATTTACTTAAAGAGTCTCTAATAAGAAGTTTAGAGGTTTCTTCTAGAAATAGATAGATATTACTAAGCTAGACGCTACTAAACCTTATAAAAGGCTTTATACTATACTATATAATATATATTTAAAGTTTTATAGATTATTATAATAGTTTACTAGTTCTTATAAGGTTTAAACTCTAAGAATAGCTACTTTTAGAAAAGACTTATTTTAAGCTTACGTAATAGAAAATATATAGTACAAATTTAATAGTAGATGTATATAGTATAGATTAATATATATTTAAATTTTTATAGAAATATATTAAGGTTTCGCTTAGTTATTTAAGAAAGACTCGTTAATTCTTAGGCTTAGCATTTTTAGGGCGTTCGTTTGTGTAGAGCGTTCGTTTGTAAAGTACGTTATATCTAATTTTTTATAGAAAAATATTAAGGTTTCGCTTAGTTATTTAAGAAAAACGAGTTAATTTTCGTTAATTTTTCTTGTTAAGAAATCGTGAGTTGTTCGATAGTATGAGGCTTTCGATAGTAGAATACGTTAAAGTGTTCGCGGCGAAATTTTAATGTTCCTGTCCGTGCGGGAGCTAAGCTAAAGAGGATTAGCAGCCCGGTGTTCGGGACATCTCTCAAGCCGACGAGGAGTGCCGATGTTATTCCGGACTAGCCTCCTGGTTAGCGCGTTGCCGCGCCGTTGCCTTCCAACCTCTTTCTTCACATCAAAGATTATCCCATTGCATGCAGTCGCTTGGTGACGGTACCGCGAACACTCCCTTTTCTCGCAATGGACGGACTTTCGGAGCTGGATAAGTTAAGACAGGAACTAGCGAGGGCGCAACAGCGCGCAGACGAAGCAGAGCAGCAGCGAGAGCGAGAGCGACAGCGCGCGGAAGAAGCAGAGCAGCAGCGAGAGCGAGAGCGACAGCGCGCGGAAGAAGCAGAGCAGCAGCGAGAGCGAGAGCGACAGCGCGCGGAAGAAGCAGAGCAGCAGCGACAGCGAACCACACTATCCGAATACATCAGAGGGTGCCATGATTACCTCGCGCAGACTTTCGCCGTCCAGACGGATAAGAGCCTGACATCGAAAGGATCCATCACCCGGCCCCAGGATAAGAGATGTCCAGCGCGCCTCTTGCCTTGGGGAGAGTTCCTGGAGCTGCAAAGAGACATGCTGGGAAAGGTCTACTCGATGTACCCTGGCCAGTCTCGAGACTTTGAGAGCTTGGACTTCCTCCGTGGTCTCGGGGAGAGGATGGGCAAGAGAAAGGTGGGGAACGAGAAGGACCTTGAACACGTTCAGCACAATGCGGTGGAGACGCCGGTAACATCGATTATAGAGCAGCTGCAGATCGAGGATACAGTACGTGACGGGTTGGACCTCGGAGCCGGCATTGTTTTCGAGAACCATCCGAACGTTGCGAGCGACGTCGCCGAGGAACCGCAGCAGCGGCTCACAGGCCAAAACACCCCACCCAACATACCGACCGGCTCCAGGCCTGACCTCAACCAATTACGGGCCGATCAGATATGTGTTTACAAGTGCGACGAGGATGATCCGGCTCGGCGTCGGTTGGCTTATGTTGTCGAGTACAAGGCACCACATAAGCTTACCCTTCCCCACCTGCGCCTTGGTCTCCGGGAAGTAGACATCTACCAAGACATCGTTAATCGGGTCACAAAGCCGCGGGCGGAGGACGTGGAGGCCCTCTTTCAATATCACGCAGACCGGTTGGCGGCGGCTGCTGTTGTTCAAACCTTCCACTACATGGTTGAAGGGGGCCTTGAATACAGCTATATGACGACGGGGGAGGCCTTTGTTTTCCTGCACATCGACTGGGCTGACCCGACTACCCTCTATTTCCACCTGGCTGAGCCTCTTGAAGAGTTCCAAGCGCACGCGGAAAACTCGCTTCATTGCACCGCCGTCAGCCAAGTGCTCGCTTTCACCCTTCTTGCTCTTGCCTCACCCCTTCACGGGCAAGACGAGATTCAGAGGACTATTGAGAGTCTGAATGTATGGAGAGAAGATTATGATAGCATTCTACGTGCTATCCCGGAAACGGAACGAAAACAGACACCGTCGCCATCCGCATTTGAACCGAGGACCTACAGCCATTTCGATCGGTCACCCTACATATTCCGGTCAAAGAAAAAGAGGGGCAGGCCAGGCGCATGCAGTTCGGGATCCGATCTCCTTAACAGGGAGCCGTCTCCAGATGGCTCAGATGACGAATTCCACATGCCGGACTCGCCAACCCAGCCAAGGACCTCTAAGCGGTCGGGGACAGCTGGACGATCTTCTCTACTCGACCGTCTAGGCTCGTCCAACCAGGGTGGCCAGAGTCGTCCGTACTGTACCCAAGGCTGCCTGCTTGGCCTGATTCACGGGCGCCCGTTGGACAATAGCTGCCCCAACTTCTCGCTTCATCGTGGCGAGCAGCACCGTGACCCTCGATACCACCCCGTAACCCACGAGACATGGCTGCGGCTACTCCACGAGCAGCTTACCCGGACATTGGACAATGACATCGTCCCTCTTGGGAAGCAGGGCGCACGAGGGATACTGTTCCAGGTCACACTGAGCATGTACGGCTACACCATTATTGCCAAAGGGACAGTTTTTGCTTTCCTGGAGGACCTTCGGCACGAGGCCGCCGTGTACCAGCGGCTCCAGAACCTCCAAGGCGTTTGCGTCCCGGTTTTCTTGGGAGCCGTGGATCTCGCTCGCCCGTACTACTATGACTTCCGGGTTCGCGTTGTCCACGTGATGTTTCTCTCGTGGGCGGGAGACGATGTAGTGGACGGCGATGTGGGAGGGGATGATCGGCGGAAGCGGAGCAAGGAGTTGGTGCGCTCAGTCCGTGATGTCCACCGGGCAGGTGTAGTGCACGGGGACATACGAGCGGCCAACGCACTCTGGAATGGGGAGGTCCGGCGGGTCATGCTTATAGACTTTGAGCGGGCCGTCCTGGCGGAATCGCGTCGTCTGCTGCTGTCGCCTGTACGTCTGAATTTGAAGAGGAAGCGACAAACTGGTACAGCCATTCTTGGCGATGAAGAATATTGGATGGTCTCTAAGAGCGGTCATGGAGATCTTTCAATGAGGATGGAGATGTTGACGGCTCAGCGAATGTTCTATTCGTCGACGACAATAATTTAGAAATAGTCGATTTGGATAGGTAGAGAGTATCTCTTTTCGAGCATTCTTGCGAGTCCGAGAAAATACCGTTTAATAGGTACTCTCTAGATCTCTTCTATAACGTACTTTAAAATTAAACCGTCTATATTATCGAAGTACGTTAGAGAAGAAAACAAGCTAGTAGAGGCGTATTAGAAGCAGGAGCGAATAAGATATATATTAGTAGAGAAGCTCTATATATACATGGGAGCTTCGGAGTTATAGTACTGCCGAGCTCTAGATTATCTCCCGCGATAGTTTCTGGTCGAAGGAGGTGGTCATGGCGGGAGATGGTTGAGCAGGCGGGGTCTTGGAAAGGTGCTTGGCCTTGTTGAAGTTCGTGGTAAGGGCAGGGTTGTCCGTCGACTTTGAACACGGTCCTTCTCTCCACCTGGACCTTGGGATGAGGTCGAACCGGTTGATATGCTGAATTAAGTCGAGGCGTTGTCCGTTGACTTTGACGGAACAGCCGACTTCGGTTTCTTCGGGCCGGCGAGAGGAGCACTCTTGACAGCTGAGGAGAGGTTGCCCTCTTGAGGTAGTTGAACACGGTCCTTCTCTCCACCTGGACCATGGGATGAGGTCGAACCGGTTGATATGCTGAATTAAGTCGAGGCGTTCTTCTGAGTTGACTAAGGGAACGCTCTGGTCGAATCGAATGAAGTAGGGAGGTCGCGTTCGCGCGAATTTGTTGTGGATGTATGCCAATCTGTGCAAGCAATTGTTCTGTGCGAGCTCAAAGATGTGAGAGTGAGCTGGGGAGAAGGAGAGCAGGAAGCGGGCGTGGGCATTATATAGTGGGCGAGGTTGACCACGGGCCGGCCAGGTGAAAGAACCGGCGGTATGGTAAACTGCGTCCGTGCAGTCGACTGCTGGAGAGATGGGAAGGAACGATTTCCGATACCTGCTCCTGGCAGCTATGTGTCGGCCGCTGGCGAGATAAGTAAGCTGTTTGGGTGTCGGTATCGAGGGTGTATTTAAGGGCGATATCGAGTATTTTGGGCTCCATGGCGGAAAACCAGGTGATATCGCGCGTGGAGAAGTTATCGATAACGTGGTCCAGAGTATCGGGGAGAGGTGATTTCGGACTCGGCGCACCCTTAGGCAGCAGTACAACGAAAGCTTACGAACGCATTGAGCGCCTTCTTTGCCTTTTCTGGAGTCGTGACACGTCCGGAAGCAGCGGGAGGTAGGTAGAAGAGCGCCGTCGTTATCGAAGCTTGCGCCATTGGGTCTCGGAGTGACTTGCACTAGCTGCACCATCTCGCTACTGGAGCTGACGAGTTGAAGGGAATTGTGTTGTTGTTTCCGTCGCGGGTCGGGAACTTGGATGCATCGGAGTCGCCGTAGTAGTTGCCGTACCAGCACGCTAGGAGGCCGACGTTGGGCGCATCATAGGCGGTGAGGTTGAGTTCGGTGAGTGGCCCGTCCTGCCAGATGTTGGTGCTGTTGCTGTTCTGCTTTTGCTTGACGACGTTGTCTTCGGAGACATAGAAGATGTGCCACTGTGCGGTCGGACGTCAGCATCCCGCGAAGGAGATATGCTAGTGGACAATAGCTTACGACTGAGGTGTCATTCAAGGAGTATGAGACTGCGGATATGGGCGTGGCGTTCTTCGCGTCACTCGCAATGACTTCGCTTTTCGTCCCGCCGATCCATTCGACTGGCGAGGAAGTTGTCAATCTCAGGTGAAGTTGGGTCCCTAGGGATCGCGAAATACTGGCTCGTGGATGCCATGGTGAAGTATTTCCGGCTCTTTGTTGTCGAGGTTGAAAGAAGTTGTACGCTTGCGGAAGTGGACGAAGAGGTAAGAGTGGAGAAGGTAGAGTGTGTCGAGGATTTCGGACTGTTGAGTCTCGGAGTGACTTGCACTAGCTGCACTATCTCGCTACCAGAGCGACTGGCGAGGAAGTTGGCGATCTCAGGTGAAGTCGGGTCCCTGGGGATCGCGAAATGCTGGTTCGTAGACGCTATGGTGAGGTATTCCGGCTCTTTGTTGTCGAGGTTGAAAGAAGTCGTACGCTTGCGTAGTTTGCAGAAGTGGAGGTAAGAGCGGAGAAGGTAGAGTGTGTTAAGGATTTTAGACAAAGAAGTGGACGGGCGGTTTAAGTAGCTAGGACGCGCCCTTTCACTTGCGCACCACCTTCTCGAGCTCTCCTTCCGCTATGCCATGCCAATTCGTCGCCGGCGGAGCGTTTATTCCAAGAGATAACGTATTCCACCAACGAAAGCGCCATACTATCGAACACCCCACGATTTCTTGGCAAGCCTCAAACAGCGACATAAGGCTCTAAGAAGCGATCGGGAAGGAAGGTCTAGAAAAGGAAATGGCGGAAATTGCAGAGGTACGATAAGGGCTCGTAGGGCTGGCGGTGTAACAGCTAGCGCGGGGAGAGGGCTAGCATGAGCCTATGCTCGAGCCACAGCAAACACTCTAGCATCACGCTTCTCTCACCGACAGTCCAGAGGGGGGAGCATAAGAGAAGGTCTTCGGCCCTGCTCTACATCCTCCATTCCTCCACTCACCTCTCTATTCCTTCTAATTCCTCCGAACCTCTCTCAACTACCTTTCTTCTGCTCTCCTCAGCTCTCATTATGCGTCTGCTTAAGCTCTTCTCGCTCCTCTTGCTGCTCCTTGCGAGCCTCGAGCTCTGCTCGGGAGCCACTGTCGATACAGCTCCCGGCTCTCACGCCGTCGGGTCTGGCGGAGGCGGCGCAGGCGGCGGCGGGAAGCGTCCGCCAGGAGGGCGGGGCGATCAGAAAGCGCAGCTATTTCACTACAACGAGCGCATGAATGCGATGGGGCTGTTGTGGCAATACAGTAAGTTTTCCTGCTCCAAGAAGAGCTCGATGCTGACAGGAATAGTCGCTACCCTCCTGGATAAGCGCATCTCGGATGCCACTGCCCTCCGCCGCATCCAGGGAGCTCTGCAGGAGATCATGCGCAACGGCGGCACCTTTTCCGGCTACCTCAGACTGGCCTCTGGGACTTCTGAAGCCTTTCAGATCACTCATGCTCCTCCCGCTCGCAAGAACGGCGCCGGCCGCACGGCTACCATCTTCGAATACCTCTTTTGGTCCCGAGAGGCTTCCGCGGTGAAAAACTTGGCGGCGGCTCAGAGCTTCCTCTGGAAGCGCATGGTGTCGGGGAAGGGCATACCACACGACTCTTACTTGCCCTCACTGCTCTTCATGGGTGCGAAAGGGCTCCACAGGTACTCTCGCCGCGCCGAGGACGGCTCGGCCGATCAGGCCTGCTCTGAGTGCATCAAGAACCCGGGCATGTGGGATAGTTGTGGCCAGCTGTTCAATGACGAGGAACAGCTACTGTTCGACGGAGCTTGTGTGCCATGCTGGTCTAAGGGCAAGGAGAAACTCTGCTCTATGTATAGAGGTAAGAGTAAGGCTGTCTAGGTGTGTTCCTTGCTGACTTGTATAGGTGCGGGTCCTGTGAAGACGAGGGAGTCTCGGCATCAGGAAGGGAAGGAGGCTGTCAGGGCGATCGGCAGAGAACGCGCTGCGGCAGCGGCGGCAGCTGGCCCTTCCTCCGAGTTCGATTTGGCGACGCTCGTCGACCGCATCAGCCGTGCAGTCCCGCGGGACCCGAGCCTCTTTCGGTCAAAGCATCAGCGCACTGACTCCGCGATGTCCGGCGTTAAGCAGACAGGCCCTAGTGCGCGCTCCAGGCCCAGTTCGGTGCGCTCTCAGCACTCTCAGCACTGCCAACGTTCTGGTGCTTCTCCTGGGCTAGGGCGGCTCACGCTTTCGCCGCAGGATCCGCTGTCTCCTCGGGGCCCTGTCCCTTTCCGAGGGCCTTTCGCGCCTACCCACCTGGAAGGGCTCCATAGGCGAGAGCGGGAGGCGCGGGCTAGGCCTGTTGTTGCGGCGGAGGATGATGACGACGAGGAGTCGGAGTTTGAGGGCTTCCCGGATGATACTGAGGACCTTTCGGGGCCTGGTGAGAAGGGGAAGGGCAGGCGGTTGTAGTTGCTGATGGTAATGCCTCTAGCCTAACGGCTTAGATAGCTAGGTATTACTCCATGGGGTGCCAGACTTTAGGTTAACGAGACCTGCGGAGTCTTCCTTCGCAGATACTGCTATCGTTCACAGTAGCATCTGTTTCTACGTGGCTTTCCAGCGCCACAAGCGGTTTTAACGGTTCCGAGAATTCCTCAGTCATCTCTACGTCTTCATTTAGGGAGGCTGCTTCCTCTCCCAGCTACGGTGGTTCATTCATTGCCATGGTCACCGATGCGGTATCGGGTTCTCCGACTTCAGGCATCGCCCCCTCACCAACACCTTCCATTCTAGGGCTTCCACCGCTATCCTCCGCAGTTCCAGCTACTTCTAGAGGATCTTGAGGCTCAGGGATCAGTCGCTCCCGGCTGGTAAGGCATTCGTTAGACGTCACTGGGCCTCCTTCGTGCACGCGCGTGCCTTCTTGTGGAAATATCCCTGCCCTAGAAAGTGCAGCTTGTGCTGGCTTCGGCTCCTCAAGCATTTTCTGCCGAAGCGTACTTCGAGCCCGAGCGTTGTTCAACACTACTTGAACAACATCTCTTCTCTCATCTCTCTCCCCTACCAAGAATCGGCGTGCACCTGCCGCCTTATTCTAGACATGTTCCTGTAACCTTCTTACCCATTCACGCTCGGTAATCGTGAATAGATTGGTGTAACGAGGAACGTTTAGCAAATCCGTCTCCAAGATCCGCTCGATTTCCTCCGAGTGTTGTTCGACTTGTTGTGTTATGTCATGATCTTGTCGATTCCAGAAGTCTAAGGCGTCTCGGCAGCGCGCCTTCACAACGTTACTGTGGTTCACTAAATGCCACAAGATATCCCCCTTAGGAGTCGCAAGGGTATATGTTCCGAGTGGATTTCGGGCCACAATCCTGTATGGGCCGAACCACTTCGCCTGACACTTAGTTCGATGCTGGTTCTTCAGTAACACCCAGTCACCGATACTCAGTTGGAGCGCCGAAGGCTCATCTTTTACTAAGTCAGGGTCAAGCAAGCTAGCGTTCTTCGCTCTCTCCAAGAGCCGATCGTTCGCTAGGTCTCTTGCATGACGAACACCTTCTATCCGCACCACTAACTCGTCTTTGGAAAGAGCTTGAAGGGGTATTTCAGGGTAGTTATCGCTGGCAAGCCGGGGATTCCGTCTATATACAAGATAATATGGCGAATATTTAGTTATCGACTGCATCCGAACGCGGGTCGCGAACAAGGCTGCCTCCAAATATGTATCCCAAAGCTTCACATCCTTGTTAATCAGGAACTTGGTAAAAATGTCTCCTAGAATGCCATTTAGACGCTCCACCTTCCCATTCGTTTGGGGTGGTAGGGCGTAGCGAGGTTGTGGCGCGTTCTGAGAAGCCTTCGGAGGTGTTCAACAACTCGGGATAACAGGTTCGAACCGTTATCAGAGGTGAACGCGGCTGGAGCGCCAAATCGGATGTAAATTCGCTCCACCCCGATCAAGGGCGACGCCATGATGGTGTCGATGTGCGAGAGTAAGCCGTTGGTCATGACCACGTGGGGGGACGCGATCACGGACGGGTTCACCGACCCGCTCGTGCCCATGCCCGAGAAGCCGGTCACCGTGGCCTTCGTCAACACGTACATGAACACGGAGGACTCCGCGTGCACCTCCAAGGTCTGGGCCGTGTCCGGCCTCATGGCCTGGAGCGGGGTCATCAACTACCGCCTGCCCATGGACGTGGGCAGACCTGGCAGCAAACAAGTAAGGCTTGATAACTTGTTTGGCTTGATTTGTTTATTCAAATCAAGCCAAACAAGCTGCCGCAGCCGATTTTATCAAACAAACAAGCTAGAAGGCGATAATTTATTTAGCTTAACTTGTTTCGCAGCTCTTAATTTACTATAAATATGTAAGACTGTATAGAGTTACTATATATACGATTTTCGTAATTTCTATAATTTCTATAGTATTAAGTTTCTAAGCTCTAGAATTTCTATACTCTAATTAGCTTACTCTATTATACTAGCCTAAAGTAGGTTAACTCTAACGCGCTAAATATTTCTATTAATATTAACTATTCTATACGCTCTTACCTTTAATACTATTTTTTCTATTAATTATTACTCTATAGCTATTACTAAACCTCTTAGAAAGTATAAATACTAATCTCTTAAAAGTATTCTTATAGCGTATTAAAAACGCGAGCTTATAGTTACCTTCTAATAATAATATAACTAATTACGTAACTAATATACTCTCTAAGCTTAATATAATTAAAAATACTCTATTCTTAATATCTATATCTATTAATAGCTCTAATTATAATAATATTAACTAGAGTTAGATATATTAGCTTTAGTTATCTCTATATAAACTAAAGTAATTCTATAAAAGCTATAGAAGTATAGCTATTAAGTTTACTACTAAAAGTAGTAGAAGCTATATTAGCTCTATAAATATTACTATACCTATAGAGCTACTAGAGGTCTCTACGCTATTAATCTTGCTACTACTATAATAGCGTAATATCTTTAGAAGAATAAAAGAAGCTATAGCTTTAATAAATATAATATAAGTATATCTATAGTAGCTACTAATTATAAAAGAACCTTCTTAGAGCTTAGAAATCTTCTTAAAGTATAACGTCTAAGTATAAAGTCTAATCTACTCTCTTTCTATAGAGCCTCTAGAGCTAGAAGCGTCTTAGCTTAAAGTCTTATAAAAGTCTCTTAGAGGCTCTAGAAAAGCCTCTAAGTTAATTCTATATAATAACCTTAATAATAATACGTAACTATTTAATTTATCTACTAAGCTTTTTAAGCTATAAATAAGCTAATTAAATAAGCTAGAGCGAAATTTCTAATAAATTAAGCTAAATAAGCTAATTAGAGCTTAAGAATTAAGTTAAATAAGCTTTTAGAGAGAGCTTATTTAGCTTACTTATTACTAGGTCTAGACGTAGGCTATATTAAGCCTAAGATAGTACTTAAGAACTAGCCTAGCTAGAAGCTAGTAATTAAGAGAATTATTCTAAGTAGAGAGATAACTAGAACTAGAGATCTATACGTAATTATATATATATTATTAAATAGTCTTATACTAGAGAATAAGATAGAGAACTTATAGAAAATAAAGATAGTAGTTAGAAACGTAATTAAGTATAATAATATAATTAAGATAGTAGATAAGTATATAGATATTCTCTTTAAGCTAAATATAATTATATTTATAAAGAATATAAAGAATCTTATAAGAAGAATTAAGAGCTTAGTTAGATATATAAATACTACTACTAAGAGGTTTAACTCTATCTAGTTATTTAGATACCTAAAGAAGTCTAAGAGTACTAGAGTCTTCTTATTTAAGAACTAGAAGAGAATTAAGTCTAAGTTAAGAAATAGAATTATACTATATAAGAGAAAGCTAATTATCTTTATAGAGAATAATAGAAGTATAAGAGTAGTTAGAGCTAGGTCTAGAAGTACTAAGAGAAACTACTTCTAGATAGAACGTAGTAACTTAAAGGTAAGTATAAATAGAAACTTAAGCTAGTTTTTAAAAAGAGTATAGTAGCTCTTATAGCTAATAATACTAAGATAAAAATAAGTAAGTTTAAGCTTATAATCTCTTCGCGATTATATTATAGAAGAAGATTAAGAATAAAATAGTAGGTAGGCTTAAGAATAGTTTTAACTAAGCTAGTAACTTTCTTTATAACCTACTTCTTATCTACGTCTATAATTCTAGCTCTAATATTAACTAGAGCTAAGGCCTTCTTACTATTTATCTTTATATACGTGTAGTAGAGCTAGTAGTTAATCTTCTTAGCTACCTATATCTCTATAAGAATCTACTTCTTCTTAATTATCTTTATAAGCTTGCTAATAAATATATATAACTTTATCTTATTCTTCTTATACGTATTCTTACTTATAATAATATCTAGAGTCTTACTTATAGTCTATCTTATAATAGAAATTATATCTTTCTTTATAGGTACTATCTCTTTACTCTCTACGTCTTTATTCTACTTTACTATAGTGTTAGCAACAGAGTTAATGTGATACACAGGCAACGTCAGCGAGGCGATGCAGAACTTGATGATGGGGCACGCCAACATAAGAACGTTCCTGAAACACTACCTCTCGCGACGCGTCACGGTGGACACGCAGGCCGTCGTGCGAGGCATTCAGCCCCAGGGTGCCCTAATGCGCGCAGCTTGTACCATGAGTCGTTCGATTGACTATCGTCGGCCACAACGGCTCACGCCAGAACAATCTGCATTGGTGAACAATTATCCTACAGTTCGTTCTTTGCTCGACTGACGAGAGCAACTCAAACGTACCCTTAAAAACGCAACGAAGCATCTAACGTACCAAGAGCTTAACCGCAAAATTAATTAGGAAAGGCAGCGTTAGCGCCATGCTCTTCTTCAGGATGTTAAGGAACGCTAGGAGTATGAACAGCCCGTTTAGGATGTCGAGCAGCAGCTTGCTGGCATCAAAATCAAGGACGACGTCAAAGGAGGACATGGTGCTCTGCTCCCGGCACAGAAGGAGTTGGTTAACGCTATCCTGGCTCGTCCGGGACTCACACTGGAGGAAGAGATTAGTTGGCGGAACACGGCCATCAGTGCCGTCATGCGATATTGTGGGATCGAGGAGGGTGGAATACACCCATCCCGGCCGAAACGATTGAGTGGTCGCATTACACCACCTGGCAAGAACGAAGACAATGCCCAGCTGGATCTTGATGAAAAGGCGCTGGAAGCTGCTAAGGTGGCGGTGTACAAGGAAACGAGGCCGAGGATATGTTTCGTTTGCCTAGGAAATGAGAATCTGCCTACGGAACTGCGCACATACTCGTTTTATACCTTGGGAGATCTTAGCAAACATTTCAAGAGGAAGCACCTGCAGTACATCAAGGAAGGGGATCAGCTCGGCTGCAGTCTCTGTCAAGTGTGGCTTGAAGACAAAATGCACCTGCAGCGACATGCATGTGAGGTCCACGGTACCGTCTCGTAAGTATATGTATTAGTAAAGGAGGTTTTGTGGCTTTGAAATCAAGACTTAAGGACAAGTTAGAGGTAAGCTAATTTTGTTGGTACGGGTCTAGCATTTTCTTTGATAGGCTGCATTACCAGCTAACAGCGAGAACGCCGACTGAAATTATTAGAATGAAGATATGAGGTCGTCTCTGAAATTTCTTTATTCTCGTTCTGATAGAGAATCAGGCCACTGGGCGCGAAGATGTCGTGTGCTGCCCGTGTCCCACAATGCGGGCGATTCACATCCGAGAGCGACGGAGGGCATGGGGCCTCAATCAGCTGGCTGAGTCTCTCTTCCTGAGTGGGATGATGATGGATTAGTATCGGCATCGTAGGAGCGGGCCGTGAGCGGAAACAGGCCGAGGGGCGTCGAGAGGCGCGATGAGGAGGGCAACGGGCCGCGAGACAAGGATTTGCGGCCTCTGCCAGCTTGAGGCGAGAAGTACCTGATTTCCTCTTTCGTATATTCCAGCTCTTGCAGCTTCTCGCCTAACTGGACCTTCATCTCCGCCTCTTTTTGAACTACCTCTCTTGGCCGCTTCTCGGTGAGCTTCGTGACGCAGTTATCCAGTATTTGGTGCGCCTTTATTATGCGATATTAGGCTTTCTCGCGGCGTCGACATGGCGTGCTTGTTCGAATATGACGATAGAGAGAAGGAGAGCACGAGTGAGGGCGGAAAGCGGGCCGTGGTGCCTGAATGCAGGCTGCCGTTTGCTGGCTAGCTGCCATCATGATGTCAATGCCCCGCGGGCGAGCTGTGACCCGACGCAGCGCGACACGCCATCGACGGCCTCGAGGCAGAGCAAGCACAGGCTGGGGACATGCCGTCGTTGCAAGCGCAGGAAGCAGATGGAGGGAACCCGGCGGACGATTGCAAGTGCCACGCGACTAGGAGCACCATCGGAATCCTCTAGCAGCTGCGGGCTGGCGAGCGGTTGTGGGTGGGCGTGGGTGGCGAGATGGCTTCGAGCCCGGCGTGGCAACGGATGAAGTTGCGTGGTGGGCGTAAGATCAGCTACGGCAGCATCAGCATGGGAAGAAGAGAGGAGACTACACCAGGTAGAGGGAGCATACATACCCACAGCCACAGCCACAGCCTACCGTCGGCCATGTCTGATGTCTCGCACAGCAGCCTCTCAGTTCGGCGTGAAAGTACGACTGGCCGGCTTGCCGAGCGGAGACTCGCCCTCGTGCGCCCGCGAGTTATACGTTGTCGGCATAGACATGGTCGCTGTGCATGGTCGAGAGCCGCCTAGCGCGACTTCTTCAATCTCCGCGCCGCCATCCCTAAGTGCTCTTCAAACCTCATCCCACCATGTTCTTGATAACAGGCGCTTCCCACAAGTCGCACTTGCTATCCTCCCTCATCCCAAAGCATATGCGCTACCCCCGCTCGTGTCCAGATACTGCGTTGGCGTTTCGAACGGCAAAACGGGCGGGACGTTGAAGGAACCGTTTCAGCAGGCGCATGCTCTCGCTTTCGCTTCGAGGGGACGGCATTGTCATCGCCGTTGTAGTCGGGCTGCGAGAAGTGAACGCGGAGAGTCGCGGGGACAGGGTGCTGGCGGGGGTGGTGGGCGTTGGCTCGGAACCTCGGCGGTCCAGGTTGTCGCCTCCGATGGACTCAGGTATTGACATGGGATTATTGGGTGGCTTGTCTGGTCCTGGATCTGGAATGTCGACGGCATCTATCAGATGTTTGGGCGGTAGGTCGCTGCGCCGTCGCGACGGCTACAGGTACCAAGTCGACGCGGAGGGATGTTCTTGGCAGCTCTGCTGAGTCAGCACAAGCGCCTGCAATGACCTGATGGCTAACCATTAAACACGTCCACACATCAGCGATGCTCAATGATATCAACCTGAATTTTCTCACCAAACAACGACTTTAAACCAAATCAACACCCTTATCGAACTGAAAAGCTGCCACTCGTGTGCCGTTCAGAACCGTACCGCATTCGACGTCCCTCGTTTTCAACCACGCTTCCTTCACCTTCCCAGCCCAGCTCGTCGTCCGCTTCTTCTTCACTCGCCAGTCATAAAGCTCATGGAATGCGACGGAAAAGAATCTCGTATCATTATTCGAGCCCGGGTAACAGATATACCAGGGGACTCATGTCGCCGCCCGATCACCCTTGGGGAGATATTCTGCACAGAGATTCTTGGGAGGTCCTTCAATACAAAAGTAACAGCGTCAAAATTTGATGCTGTTCATATTCCACATGGGTTTGATTCTGATAAACCAGTCAAGCGGTGGTTTATCTACGATCTCAACGTTGCATGCAACCTAGAAGAGCAGGAGCTACTAGCAAGAATTCCACACCATGTCTACCAAGCTAGCTTGGTAGATAATCAATGGTAGGATAGCTCATTGAGTTGATTAATAGGTATGCTTACTGTATTTAGGATATTTGTTAAGCGCGATGCTTGGCTTCCTAACGCGAAGAGTTACTGCGCAATGTTCTGCTGGGGGGGTCGAAGAGAACAAGAGATTGCAGAAGCACTAAGAAAGAAAGAAACAGGTTTCATTGCAAGCGCATCAACTATCAATTCATGACTCTTAAGTTTGCGCAATTGTTCCTAAGGTGTCTCTGGTGGAGTCTCTCCTCTGCATGCTGGGCAGTCCCTATTTAGCTCATCCTCTTGCACCACATGCGCAACCTGACGTTGAGCAGGAGGGCACGTAGTATTAGCGTTTATAGCATGTTGGCATCTCGCAATATGTTTGAAAGCAAGACCGTTAGGATTATTAATTAGGTCTGTGTGTCTCGGCGCACATCGAAAAATCGCATTGACATCGTCGCACATCTTGATGGAGAATTAGATATAATTTGATGAGGGAAAACTCAGTGTTATACCTTTGAGAACCGATAAAAGCGTATATGATCCGTTCGCAACAAGTTTAGAAGGAGACTAGAGATGTCAGTCTTGTAACAGGATAAAAAAATGCCTCACCTACCTGCTCATCTACACCTGCTAGAGAAGTTGGAGACAGAAAGACGGAACCCCTTGAACGGCGAGAGTAGACAGAGGGCCTTTTGGAAGGAAGAAGGAATTGTTGGGGGGTGAGGGGTCCGGGATCCGTTGCCCGCTACTGGGAATGTGGCTGCCCGTGACGGTGAGCGCTTGTCCAGATACACCTTTGCGTATGCACTAGCTCACTAGCATGTGGTCTTCAGGCTTTAGAGCGCGTCGGTTGACTGGATGTAAGCGATGAGTCGACTGTTAAGGGTGCCGTAAATTCTGAGCATATACAGCTCGTCTTGGCGCAGTTACCCCGCATCGACATCCCAATGCATTACCTGCGAACTGTCAGTCGCATGTACCAACAGCATGCGCGCAATAGAGATCGCTTCATCCGGGCCTACTGCTCCATCTCAGCGATTTTGCCCACAAGACCTGCAAGTATGTCACTTCGACTCTCGTGCATCATCCTGAGACTGAGCCGGTGGAAGTCGTAGGAGACGAAAACCGCGTGCTTGATGTGTCCGCTAACATAGATGCGCCTCGCTTGGTAAGAGAATCATTGTCTAGTGGTTCCTAGGGGGGCAGGTCTTCCATACTCGCTAGCTCCCTCTGGAGTCGACGGCGATGGCCAAGCTTAAACCCAAGACGACCAAGGTCTTCTTCTCTAGCCTTCGACAAAGTACCCCAGTCAACAAATCCGTTTTGCTGCAGCACGTCGATGTATTGCCCTAGGCCGAGAGTTTGAAGGTTGCTGCGTAGATGATTCTCCATGGTGAATACTTTTAAAATATGCTAATGATGCGCAACCGACAACAGAAACGATATAATAACCCTTACGGTGTTAATATTCTTGAGAAGCAGCTAGAAAATAATAAGAGAAAGTCTTCTAATTTCTCTTTATAAGCGAGGCCATGGTATTACCTACTTTATAGAATAAGCTCTCTAGAGATAATAGATAAGAAGAAGTTTATATATTTACTATATTTAATTATACTATTAATAGAATAGAAATAGCTTATAATTTATTCTCTCTTTTACTTTAGCTATATAGAGTTAGTAAACTATAATAGTACTTATTAGATCTATTAAGATTCTAAGTTGCGTAAGTATCTTTAAGAGTACGTATAACGTAATTAACATAAAGTAAGATTACTTTATAGTAAGATTAAATAAAGAATAAGTTACGTAAGTTAATATACTAGTACTCTTTAGGTCTAGAGTATAGAATAACGTAAAAATAATATATATACCTATTATTATAATAGATTTTTAAATAAGACTAGTCTACTACTACTCTAATTCTCTTCTTTAATATACTATTATATTAATCTTATTCTCTTTTAATTCTATAGATATATTACTCTCTAGTTCTTATTAATAGAACTAGTACTTAGTTATAGTAAAAAAAAAGTAAGCTATATAGAAAGTCTAAGCGTATATATATCTCTAGAAATTATTAGATATTATAATTAAGTAGAGTATATAGCTTATAAAGATAGTAGATTATTCTACTCTCTATCTATAACGCTATATATAGCTAGCTTATTTAAAAGCTATAAGTTATTATAGGTCTTAGCTAGACTTATTACTTACTTTAACTTAAACTTCTAGAATTATATAGAGAAGCCTACTAGTATTAGATAATAAGATTAAACGCGTTAGTATACGTATTCTTCTAGATATAACTCTTATATAATAAGATATTATTAATATTTCTAGAATAAGCCTTTCTAGTTAGAGTCTATTATCTCTTATTCTTCTTTTACTATAATAAGTAATAGTTTATATAGTACTCTATAAGAATAAACTATAAGCGCGTTTTTATAATAGATAAGAGTAGAGTATAGTAAGTTAGTATACTACCTAAAAGATAATAGTAAAGTTAAACGTTAAGAGAAGAGTATATAGATACTAGATACTACTAGAGTTATAGCTAGGCTAGATACTAGATATATAAAGTATCTAAGAACTTATTTATTATTTAAGAGTACTATTATATTAGTATATATAGATTATTATTAACTATAGTATATTTATTATAGTAATAATATATAATAGATAACTAGCGTTTATTTACTCTATATAGAGTATATAATAAAATAATATATAAAATTTAATAAGTAGTAATAGTCTATAATAATTAATAATTACTATTTTAAAAAAGATTTAAGTATAAGGTAGAGAAGTAGAAAATAGATAAAGATCTTATTTTAGCTAAAGCTAAGACTTTTATAGTATATTATTTATAGTAGTAAAATAATCTACTAATATACGTAGTAGAAATATCTTATATAGCTTAGCTTTATATAATAAAAAGAATAGTAGATTAATAATATAGTATTATAAATACTTACTATAGTAGTAAGCTATTATTATAAGAGTATATTACTTTACTAAGTATTTATTAAAAAGTATTATTAACTAGTAATATTCTTAATATTAAGGTAAAGAAATTTCTTAGCTATCTCTATATACTAACTTTTACTTTATATATCTAGTATCTTATCTAGCTATAACTCTAGTAGTATCTAGTATTTATAAACTTCTTCTCTATATTTATTATAGTACTAATCTACTTACTTAGCTATATAACCTTAACTATCTTAGCGTCTTAGTATAGTAGATATCTACTCTACGCCTTTATATCTTTATAGCTTAATATTATATAACTTATTATATAACTTAAATTCTTATTTCTTATTTATACTATAATAGTTTATATAATTCTACTATTAGCTCTACTACGTACTATATAGTCTAGCTAAATTATAACTAAAGAAACCTACTCTATAATTCTAGAAACTAAGATACTATAAGTAATATCTAGAAGAAAAACTAGGTAGAAACTCTAGCTATAAATCTCTCTAACTTCTTAATACTCTAGGTACTTACGCGGACTAGAGGCCTGTAGTAAGACTTTACGCAGCTGCTAGTTATAATTAGTAAAGCTAATACTAACTAGAAAGTCTTAGTAATAAAGAATACTCTTAATAATATCTTTAGAAACTTTAAGAATAGCTTTAATTACTAGTTCTAGACTCTTTAAGCTAACTATAATACTATTACTACTAAATATTCTACTTTCTAAGTATAGCTACGTGTAGTAAAGTAGCGTGTATATATTATAGAAGCTATAGCTACTACTCTTTAAGCCTCTCTATCTACTAATTCTTATAACTCTTATTAATAAAATTATAATAACTTACTAAAATTTAATAGTAAGAGTAATCTAAGTACTAGGTAGTAGAAATATAAGAATTAGAAAATAGAAGTTTATTTAGTCTTAGCTATAGATAGCGTCTTCTTTAATATAAACCTATCTTATCTTCTATACGTTATAAACCTTCTTACTAGTAATACTATAGAACGCTACTACTATAACCTTAATATAATTCTAAATAACCTAGATAACTAGAACATATAGCTCTACACTATAGTCTTAAACCTATTTATAAATATAGACTAAGTCTATATTAGTACTAATAAGACGCTAGAGGCTAATACTAAATTTAACAACCTAGTTATAGATATACGCCTCTTTTCTAACTTCTTATCTAACTTTAAGAAATAGTCTATCTACGCTAAAAAGATAGCTATAGAAAAGGTTACTACTCTTTACTATAAAGTATCTATAAAGCTTAGTAGTATAGTTACTAACTAGATTAAGCTCTCTAGACCTACTAACTTTAATAAATAGGTTAAGTTACTAAATACTATATAGAAACGTCTTAAGAAAGAAAAGTATATTAGTAGTATCTATAAGAGATACTTAAAGTAGATATATATAAATATAAGTATACTACTTCTAGTAACTATATAGGCTTAGTCTATTTTAGACCTAGACGCTATATAGTTAGACGCTATACGCTTATTATAAGAAGAATATATATAGAGAGGTCTTTATTTCTATTATAGAAAACTAGAATATAATAAGACTAATTATAAGAAAAAGTATAAGAATAATATAAAGTAGAGTAGCTAGCTCTAGTTATTCTCTTAATTATATATATAATAGCTATAGAATCTATAACTATTTAATAACTATAGATACCTCTATAGTAGATATAATACTAGGTCTAGCTAGAGTAGCTATAATAGCTAAGATAGCTATAACTAAGACTAGAATACTAATCTATTCTTTAACTATTCTATAAGTAATAAGAGTAGAGGCTATATTAAAGGTAAGGTTTCTTTAACTCTTACTAGCTTATTCTCTAGTACTATAAGTACGTCTACTAAATTAATTTTTCTATTTATAAGTACTTCTAACTATAGTAGTATAAAAAATAACTAGCCTCTAACTATAGTTATAGCTAGAGGTTTAAGAAGAGTATATATAAATAATAACTTTACTAGATATAAATATTTCTTAGTAAGAAGAGTTCTCTCTAGCTTAGATCTATAGATAGTAAATTACTACTTATTTATATATTACTCTATCTTATATATTTACTTATTACTATATAAAGTCTTATTAATAGTAGCTATTTAGGCTATAGCTTTATTAACTACTCTTTAGTTTAGTAACATAATATTCTACTATATACTATACTATTCTCTAGACTCTTACTACTTATAAATAGATATATAAGTAATACGCTTATATACTACTATATTATACCTATATCTATTAGTAACTACTATAAGTATTATATACTCTATATTATAAAGCTAGCTACTAATATACTAATTATTCTTAGCCTTCTATAGTTATAGTAATATAATCTAGCTATTAATTAGACCTCTATATCTATAACTTTTACCTTCTAGTACTATATAGTATACTATAGTTCTAATAGTAGACTAGTACTTATAGTACTATAATACTAAGTACCTAGTAAGACCTTTACCGCCTACTCTATATAGCCTCTACCTTAAATTACGCTTACACCTCTAGATTCCCTGCTAGCTATAGAGAACTACGTCTCTATTCTAGATAAAAAACTACTCTTTCTACTAAGTTATAAATAAACTAAGTAGTTACTACTAATTACGCAAGACCTTTCTATAAAAACTAATAGTACTTCTAGGTTAAACTATATTACGCTATTATATAAAGATATACCTAAAGACATATAGAAGAAGAATATAAATAGAGAAAGCTAACTACTAGAAATTCTATCTAAGCTTACGCTAGGCCACCTATACTATTATATCTATAATTCTAGAGTAGACAAAGGTAGAATACCTAAATACTATAGTATAATAATTAGAAACACGTGCTCTATAAAGAAAATACTAGCCTAAAAAGTAGAAGGCGTCTAGCTCCTTATAGCATAGATTAGAAAAGAACTATAACTATAGCTTAGTATTCTAGTTCTAGAACTAATATATAGACTATATAAAGTACTTAAAATAAAAGATATTTATCTCTCTAAGACTATAAATTTTATCTAATTCTATAAGTAGCTAGCTATTTAGGCTATTTAGGTTACATAAGATAACCTAAACAAGGTAGCCTAAGAAAGTAAGTAAGAGAAAGGCGATATACTTTCTAATCTTACTAAAGCTAAGTATTTTAATATTCTATTAGAATATATTAGTAACTAATTATATAACAAATTCTCTAGCTAATTCTATAATTTCTTAGATAATTACTAATAAGCTGTTTACCTCTATAGCCTTAAGTAAATAGATATTAATAAATTTCTAGAAGATAAGAAGCTTCTTTCTAAGTTAGAACTTAGAATAAGGCTGCTAGAATAGCTATAGAATAAGCTAGTAGAATTTCTTCTCTAGAAAGCTAATAAGCTACTACTAATAAGAGCTTAGAACTATAAGATTAATATTATTCTAGAAAAGAAGCTACTATATTAGAAGAATAGG